TTTCGTCGCTTGGCAACGACGTTGTAAAACAAGCCGCCCCCCCCGGTGTTTGCCATCGGGATTGGGTTTTCGTCGCTTGGCAAAGAAGATGTTAAACAAGCCAATTCTTTGATTTTTTCTTTGGACGGGTGTGTGTGGGAAGTGTCCTCCTTTCTTTTTGTTTTTCGCTCATTTCGATCGGTTTCCGAGGGCTCTTTTCTCGAACGGTCGGCGCGATACCTGTTCCTTTCTTTCTATCATTTTGTTTTCTTTTTCCGAGTGGTTTGTACCCAATTTTTGTTTTGTTTCCCCGCGGCGTCGTATGTGCCGGGTTTTGAGACCACGGGCTCCCCATTTTTGTGGACTATAGAGCTAAGAGTGGGTCCGACGTAATGTTTTTGGACTCGAACCTCGAACATCGAACAAGCGGCGTAATAATGTGATTGGCCAGGAAGGTCCAACAGCCCAAAGAGATGGTAGGGTTTTCGAGTTTTTGTACGCCGGATCTTCCAGGGGCGATTCCGCCTAAAACTCTAACATCTTTCCACGAAAACTCGAAAACCCATACCTAGACTAACCTACAGTCCCGTGGACTATTGGGACCGAAATGGCGACAATAAAGAAAACGCGCACGCATGCATCACGCACGTGCACCCAACACACACCACCAAAAAACACAATCCTGGGGAGAGGGAGAACGACAGAAGGGTCTGCAGGAGGACGGCAACAGCAATACCCATGTCTGCACAGAGCGACGACGAGTTTGCGCTGGATCCCAGGGCCCCGCGTGCACAAGCGGGGCCAGGTGTGAGGTTAATCACACGGGGGTTCTTTCCCGTCGCAACCACACAGCATTGCTGGACAGCCAAACAGCAGCAGCAGCGTTGGTGTGAGTCGGCAGGGTCCCGAAGCAATGCATGTGGGCATCAGGCCGCAAGGGATGCCGGGGTTCCACCCCGCGGCTTCGAGCGCTAGCTACTATCACCCCGGTGCTGTTTTTGCTGGTGGGGCTGCTTCGGGTGCTCCTCCTCCTGGCGCAGTCCCTGTTCCTGGACAATCGTATCTTTTCGAGAGTCGAGTGCCCTTGGGTTTTCCGGGCGTGGTCCAACAACCCCGCGGGCTGTTGAAAGCAAAAACGTGTGTGTGTGGGATTTTTTTTCACGCTTTTTTGCAAATTTCAATGGACCCAATTAGTCGAACATCGAACTATCCGCTTGTTCGATGTTCGATGTTCGACTTTTCCAAAAGTTACGTAGGACCCACCATAATAATGTGAAGACAAAAATTCATAGCCTGGTTTGGTGTGTTGTTGTTTGTGTAATGGTTTTGGAGTAAGACAAAGTGGCATCGTAACTCGCTTCGCTCGCAGACACACTTCA